CTGCTCCGCCGCCGTCGAAGCTATCTACTCCAACGTATCGGCCGTCGCCGACGCCGCTGCTGGCGGCGTTCAAGTCGAGATATTCATGGACTTGACTGAAGACCGCTAGGTGCATGGCTGTTGAAGCCGCCGGCGATGCCACGCGTGGATGTTGGTAGTTGAAGGAGTGTATGTTGCGGTGTGGTGATGACGGAGAAGCCATGGCCGACGGACCTGAGACTGGCTGACGGAGGCGGGGCTGGAGGTGACGGAGTTTGGTGGTGGTGGAGGAGGTTAGTGACGGAGCCGACGAAATTCTGGGCGGACAGAGGTTGAGAGCGGCTGTGCGTGGCCGAAGGATTGGCCTTTGTGTGTGCAGTTAGTGTGTGAGAGAGAGAGTTGAGAGAGAGAGAGAGATAGAGATACAGTGAGAGAGATGGGATAGCAGGGCTGGTAAATTGAGATTAATTATGAGTAGGGCCCACTTAGTTGGTGGGTTTAAGAAATTACATCATTGTCCTTTGGTGTATTTATTTGACCATAGTGTATCACATATTTACAATATTGCCATGCAGGTTTGACTATTATTAATTAATTTTGACTTCATCATGTTCATTGATACGATGGATCCAATGGTCCATAATCATTCTTATTTCTTTCACTAGGAAGCATTCTCATATGATCCCTTCTCTATATATATATATATAACATATAAAATATACACACACACACACACACACACATATATATATAAACTCATTTTTATTAAATAAATATACTTGTTTTGTTTTAGAAATAGATAGATAATGAAGAATCGTTATACTGATATATCTACATTTTTCTACTAGTATATTTTACATTAAGAATAACAATTGAACACGAATTAGTCCAATGGAAGTCAAATTATTACAATCTCGGCCAAAAATAGTGTAATCAAACTCGAATTAGTCCAATGGAAGTCAAATTAGTACAATTGATGTTAATAATTATAGTAAAATCAAACTCAAATTAGTCCAATCGAACTCGAATTAGTCCAATTGAAGTCAAATTAGTACAATTGAAGTCAAATTGGTACATTCTCGGTCAATTATAGTGTAATCGAACTCGAATTAGTCCAAGATTGTACTAATTTGATTTCCATTGGACTAATTCGAGTTCGATTACACTATAATTGACCGAGAATGTACCAATTTGACTTCAATTGTACTAATTTGACTTCACTTGGACTAATTCGAGTTCGATTACACTATAATTAACCGAGATTGTACTATTTAGACTTCAATTGGACTAAAAATTCGAGTTCGAGTACACTGCAATTGACCGAGAATGTACTAATTGGACCTCAATTGGAGTACTACTTGTACTAATTGAAAATTAGAAGTATCATGTTAAATCTTTTTAGATTCTTTATTTTACATGAAAATTGGCTAAAATTATACCGACAATGAGCTTAATATATTTATAATGTGTACCAATAACGATTGAGGTGTCGATTAAGGTGGAATTGGTCGAAAAACAACTATAACGGTTATATATTCGTTTTTCACTTAAAAACGATTATACAATCGTTTTAGTTGTTTTTCGGAACAAAACGCGATTTTTGGCTTCATAAATGAATAAAATTATGCCTATAACGAGCTTAATATCTTAATAATGTATTATATGACGATTGAGGTCTCGATTAAGGTGGAATTGGTCGAAAACAACTATAACGATTATATATTCGTTTTTTACTGGAAAAAATAATTATACAATCGTTTTAGTTATTTTTCAGAACAAAACGCGATTTTTTTCGGATTTTTCGATTGAATTAATTGATAACGCATGTATATTCATGATTCGTGTAATTTGAGGGATAGTTTGGAATTTTTGGAGTGTCCAAACAATGACAATGGATCTCTTTTTTTAAAACACCAACACTTGTTCTTTATTCTTTTTTTTTTTTTTTTT